GAGAGAGAGAGAGAGAGAGAGAGAGAGAGAGAGAGAGAGAGAGAGAGAACGAACCATGCAGGGCACAGTAGTACCTATCTGTAATATCATCACTTGGGACGCTAAGTCGGGACTGCCTCTAATTAGAGTCAGTCTGGGCTGCTTTGCGGGCCAAGGCTACAAAGTGAGACCTTATCCTCAAGCAAAGAAATAAAAGTTAAATTCCAAACAATGCTTGTGACCACGTTACTTTCCTAAGAAAAAAAAGAAAAGAAAAGAAAAAGAAAAACGGACAGGACTCTACTTTTAAAAGGATAGTGCGGTCCTTGTGACCTTACCTGACTCTGCTAGAGCTTCACGCGTAGAAGAAAAAAAAAAGCGCACCGAGTTGGCTTTCTCCGGACAGGAAGTCTGAACCGGCAGCAGGAAAAACAGAGCGGCCGGAACGTGGAGGCGGAGAAACCCGGACCGCGCAGCCGCCAGGACACACCAGCTCCGCCCCGCTTCTTAGCTGTGTTTTGTTTTGGACCTCCCTCAGTTCTCAAGGCAGCTGAGAACGGTAAAATACTTCGGTTAACTTTGCAATCTTCAGACTAGGGGCCGCGTTCTCAGGTCCGTCTCTTGAGAAGCATCTGCACAGCTTACATGCGCCGTGTCTGGCGAATTCTGATTTATAAAACCTGCAGGACTACATGCCAAGCACTTCTAAGAGTCTGAATCTGGAGAGGTGAGTAAACCTCTAATAACACATTGAGTTGCGATACATCGTAGTATATGGCTCCCCTGTTGTAAAGTCACAGCATGAGGTGATTTTCAGTCTGTAGGACTCAGATTCTGAATCTCTTATATTCACCTTTCTAATGAGTTTAGATTTCCCACTGGTCCCTCAACTCATGACTCCAAAATTAACCGATGTCACTTTCATTAATGAAAGTCTGCTGTGATATAAAAGAAAGAAAATTATATCCCAAACTAAGAAAATGACCAGCTATGTTTCTGTGTCTAAATTTACAATTAAGAGAAATGCTCTTCAGATGCTTGGTCAAAATCTGAATTGGGGCCTGGCTCAGTTGTTAAGAGTTTTTAATGTAGCATGAGACCTGGGAGCCATCTCTAATCCTAGTTAGTACTCAGGAGTGGAAGGAAGATGTTCAAGGGCATATTCAGCTAGGACTCTGGACACCCAGTCTCAAAAGAAAAGCAAAAACCAAAGCTGTACCCTTTCAAGTGTCTCAGTGTGTTAGGCCCACTGCCAAGCCTGACAACCTGAATTCCACAGAGCCTACAAGTGTTCTCCAACAGCACACACACACACACACACACACACACACACCACAGCAAATAAATGTAATAAAAACTTTAGTAGTCTATATTTAGGGGCTGGAGAAATGGCGCAGTGGTTGAACATGTGTGGTGCTTGTAGAGGATCTGAGTCTGCCTCTCACACCCACACAAGGTGGTTCACAGTTGCCTGTGACTCCAGCCCGAGGGGCTCCAATGTCTCTGACCTCCTTGGGCATCTGTAGTCATGCACGCAGACACATACAGATGCACATAATTAAAAGTAGACATGAACTATTCTAAGCACCAGGTGTAGCGGCTCATGCCTCTAACCACAGCACTTGGCCAGCAGGAGCAGGTGAAGCTCCAAGGTCCCAGCTATAACAGTAAGACAACAAAAGGGATACAAATGGAAAAAAAGAAGTCAAACTCTCACTATTTGCTGATGATATGATAGTTTACACAAGCAACCCAAAAAAATTCTACCAAGGAACTTCTACAACTCTTAAACACTTTCAGTAGTGTAGCAGGATACAAGATTAAGTTAAAAAAAAAAAACAGTAGCCCTCCTTTACACAGATTATAAATGGGCTGAGAAAGAAATCAGAGAAGCATCACCCTTAATAATAGCCACAAATAGCATAAAATATCTAGAAGTAACTCTAACCAAACAAGTGGAAGACTTGTATAACAAAAACCTTAAATCTTTGAAGAAAGAAATTGAAGAGGACACCAGAAAATGGAAAGACCTCCCATGCTCTTAGGTCGGCAGAATTAACAGTAAAAAACAGCAATCTTACCAAAAGCAATCTACAGATTCAATGCAATGCTCATCAAATCTCAGCAAAATTCTTCACAGACCTTGAAAGAACAATACTCAACTTCAAATGGAAAAGCAAAAAAAAAAAAAAAAAAAAAAACCAGAATAACCAAAAAAATCCTGCACAATGAAAGAATTTCTGGAGGCATCACAATCCCTGACTTCAAACTCTACTACAGAGCTACAGTACTGAAAACAGCCCAGTATTGGCATAAAAACAGACAGGAGGACCAATGGAACCAAATCAAAGACCCAGATATTAATCCACACACTTTCAAAAACCTGATTTTTGACAAGCAAAAAATATCAAATGGAAAAAAGAAAACATATTTAACAAGTAGTGCAGGCATAACTGGATATCAACATGTAGAAGAATGAAAATAGACCCATATCTATCACCATGCCCAAAAGTCAAGTCCAAATGGATCAAAGATTCAACATAAAGCCAGTCACACTGAACCTTATAAAAGAGAAAGTGAGAAGTACACTTGAACGCATTGGCACAGGAGACCACTTCCTAAATATAACCGCAGCAGCACAGACACTGAGAGAAATAATTAATAAAAGGGACCTCCTGAAACTGAAAAGCTTCTGTAAAGTAAAGGCATGGTCAACAAGTCAAAACGACAGCCTACAGAATGAGAAAAGATCTTCACCAGTCCCACATCAGACAGAGGTCTGATCTCTAAAATATACAAAGAACTCAAGAACTTGTTCATTAAAAGAATAAATAATCCAATGAAAAATGGAGTACAGACCTAAACAGAGAACTCTCAACAGAGGAATCTAAAATGGTTGAAAGACACTTAAAGAAATGCTCAACATCCTTAGTCATCAGAGAAATGCAAATCCAAACAACTCTGAGATTCCATCTTACACCTGTAAAAATGGCCAAGATCAAAAACACTGATGACAACTTATGCTGGAGAGGTTGTGGGGAAAAGGGAACACTCCTGCATTGCCGGTGGGAGTGCGAGCTGGTGTAGCCCCTTTGGATATCAGTGTGGCAATTTCTCAGAAAATTGGGAAACAACCTTCCTCAAGATCCAGTAATACCCCCTTGGGGTATATATTCAAAGGATGTTCAATCATGCTACAAGAACATGTGCTCAACTATTCATAGCAGCATTGTTTGTCATAGCCAGAACCTGGAAACAACCTAAATGCCCCTCGACCAAAGAATGGATAAGGAAAATGTGGCACATTTACACAATGGAGTACTACACAACAGAAAAAAATAATGACATCTTGAGTTTTGCAGGCAAATGAATGGAGCTAGAAACCATCATTTTGAGTGAGGTAATTCAGACCCAGAAAGATAATTATCATATGTACTCACTCATAATTGATTTTTAAACATAAAGAAAACCAGCCTACAAATCACAATCCTAGAGAATCTAGACAACAATGAGGACACTAAGAGAGACATACATGGAAGTAGATAGAGACAAGATCTCCTGAGTAAATTGGGAGCATGGGAACCTTGGGAGAGGGTTGTTTCCACAGGAGAAGAAAAGCTATGGATACCATCAAAATTAGTAAAGATTTGGTTTGAAAAAGACAAACCTCTTGAGAAAGAGAAATGACAGCTCATCCACAGAGATGACAATCATACAGGTGGTAAGAAAACCTCATAAGGGTTGGGGCAGGGTTCTATTCTTATCTTTGCAGGAAAATATTCATCTTCAAAGAGTTGAGAGACCTTGGTCATCTAGATGCCTAAAGAGGAAAAGATAACTATCCAGAAAGGATTACCAAGCAAAGAGAAATCTGACTTATGATGCTGTATCATCTGCATGATATAATTTGATTACCTGGACATGTATACATCTCTACCTAAAAATAAGAGCTGGCTTTGGAGTTGGACAATGGCTATCCTTCTCTAAGTCTAACCATGTTGTTAAAAAATTTAAAGTTTCTGTCTCATGTCAGCAGCCATCTGGTATGGAACAGAAAGGAGATAGATTTTAAGGAAATATTCTACTTCTTCCTTTGCCCATTTTGTCTAGATCGCATCTCTCATTGAATATATGTCTATACAAATAATGCTTAAGTTTTCCACAATGAACAGTAGATTTTCCTGCAGGAATCTTTGAAGTTTCCAGGAGGAAGATGGGGCCCCATAACAACGGCTCCACCTGGTTGATATGATGTCATGATGATGATAGCGCTACTATGAGACTGATTTTTGAGTACCAGGTGTGGAAATAGTGTACCTTCTTATAACATTCTAGCCAGAACTTTGAAAAAAAAAAGCCTATCAGCTACTCTGAGACCATTTGCTATTATACAAAACAGCAATCTTAAAACTTGATTATCATTTAACTTTTACAAGATCCCATAGAAAAACATTACCCCCATGACAACTGGAAACAACTCTAAAAGATGACGTCCCCTCTCCCAACAAAGTTTGTCCTCAGGGTTAGGGACACCATTTTGGGGTTGATTATTACTCATATAGGGTTGGGGGTTGGGATGGAAATTATGCAGTCCCAGAGATCTCAAAACAAGAGGGAAAACTAGAGCCTAGTGGTGGTGGTGCATGTCTTTAATCCCCAGCACTTGAGAGGCAGAGGCAGGCAGATCTCTATGAGTTCGAGGCCAGCCTGGTCTACAAGAGCTAGTTCCAAGGACAGGCTCCCAACCTACAGTAAAACCCTGTCTCAAAAAAAAAAACAAACAAATAAACAAAAAGAGGAAAACTAAATGGGATGATAGGTAGATTAGTGTGAACTTACAGTAATAACAATGATAGTGAGTAATAGAGTGAATACTTGTGAACTATTATTTATGGACAATTTACATTGGTATAGATTTTTGTATATTGATACAAGTTCAAATGATATTTGTTATATTGAATATGTCCCTATTTCTGTTTACAATATTTGCATACCTATGCAAAGTTATTTTGTCAGATTGTATTCATGCATGCATGTTTCTACCTCTGTTTAAGATATTTTGTATATTGATACAATTTCAGGATATATTTATCATATTGCATTATATATTTCTACCTCTGATTAAGATAGTTATACATTGTGTACATTTTGGGGACATTACTGCACAATTGTTTAAAGATTGTTTAATATTCTTATATGAAGCCTTAATCGTTAAGTTATACAGGTATTAAGTATTATAGTATAGGTCAATAGTCTTTCATGTTTGTTATACTTTTAGTCAGACTAATTAGGTTCTTTAGATACATAGAGATTGTATTCTGTATAGATAGGTAACCTTTAGCCACTTCAAATATTTGTAGAACATGGCATTTAAATAACTTAGAATTCTGTTTGCAGCACCGATCTACTCCTGAGAGAGTGTTGAGCACCAAAGACACTTCACTTGAAGTTTGTTTTCTTCTTGTCGCAACTGGCCTTTAGGCAAGAAACTGCCCATGCCTTGACCACTGACAAAGTGCTCAATGTCTGGACTAGACAAGAGATACAAGAAAAAAGACT